CAATGACAATTAGATGTTGTAGTTACTCATGACATGCTTAATTAGCTAGGAGTTTATAATGGTTTACCTTGCGTGTCAACCTGCTTTTAAAATGGTTATGATGTGGTATGATACGATGGTATCCTCCTTTGAATGATTTAAGTGGCTTGACTTGGCACATATTCATGCATGTAGTTGAAAGAAAATCAACATAGCCTCCACGATATTTATGTTCATGGTGATTTATGTCCTACTCATGCTTGCACTCAATGTTGGTTAATCTCAATGCATGTTTATGACTGGTGCCGCTCTCTAGTTGGTCGCTCCTCAATCCCTTGCTAGCCTTCACTTGTACTAAGCGGGAATACTACTTGTGCATCCACTTCCATAAACCCAAAATTGTTCCATATGAGTCCACAATACCTACCTATATATGGTATTTACCTGCCGTTCCAAGTAAAATTGCATGTGCCAAACTCTAAACCTTCAAATGATAATCTGTTTTGCATGCCTGAATCGCTCATGTAGCGACTGGGGGGCGTCAACATCTTTCATGCTAGGTGAGTTATTCTCATGATGAGTGGACTCCGCTCATCATTCATGAGAAAATGGCTGGTAACCAGGATGCCTGGTCCCATGCTCAAATCAAATAAAAATATAACTTCAAACAAGACTCCCCCAGGATTGTTGTTAGTTGGATGGTACTCGTTGTTTCAGACCAGCCGTGGAATGTGCTTGTTGGTGGAGGGGAGTATAAACTTTACCATTCTGTTTGGGAACCGCCTATAATGTATTTAGTATGGAAGATACCGAGATCTCTTGGTTTTTATGTTGACAATGAAAGCATACCATTCAAAATATTATTTATCTTTGTTTCAAAAAACTCGAGCTCTGACACCTCTGTAAATCCCTGCTTTCCTCTGCGAAGAGCCTATCTATTTACTTTTATTGTTGAGTCACCATCCTCTTATAAAAAGCACCAGTTAGAGAGCACCACTGTCATTTGTATGCCTTGTTATTAATTGATATTGAGTATGACTATGACTGGATCTCTTTTACCATGAATTACAATGTCTAGTCAGTCCTTGATCTTCAGGGGTGCCCTGCATTTATGTTTTGCGGTCTCAGAAAGGGCTAGCGAGATACCATTTTGTTATATCATATCATGATCGTTTTGAAAAAGTGTTGTCATCTGAGATTTATTATTATTGCTCGCTAGTTGATTATGCCATTGATATGAGTAAATGTGAGACCTAAATGTTATTCTGAATATGGTTAGTTCATAATCTTTGCTCAAAACTTGAATGTTGGCTTTACATATTTGCAACAACAAGATCAAACAGAGTTTGTAAAAGTTTTTCTTTATCACTTTCAGTTTGTCAACTGAATTGCTTGAGGACACGCAATGGGTTAAGCTTGGGGGAGTTGATACGTCTCCATCGTATCTACTTTTCCAAACTCTTTTGCCCTTGTTTTGGACTCTAATTTGCATGATTTGAATGGAACTAACTCGGACTGACGTTGTTTTCAGCAGAATTGTCTTTAGTTTTGTGCAGAAATAAAAGTTCTCGGAATGACCTGAAAGTCCACGGAGAATATTTTTGGAATATATAAAAAATATTGGCGAAAGAATCAATAGAGGGGAACCCACCTGCTATCCACAAGGGTGGAGGGCGCGCCCACCCCCTAGGGCACGCCCCCTGCCTTGTGGGTCCCCTGGACCTCCACCGACCTCAACTCCAACTCCATATATTCATGTTCGGGAAGAAAAAAATCAAAGAGAATGATTCATCGTGTTTTACGATACGGAAGCGCCGTCACCCCCAGTTCTGCATTGGGAGGGCAGATCTGGAGTCCGTTCAGGGCTCCAGAGAGGGGAAATCGTCGCCATCATCATCACCAATTTCATGATGCTCACCGCCGTGTGTGAGTAATTCCATCGTAGGCTTGCTAGACGGTGATGGGTTGGATGAGATTTATCATGTAATCGAGTTAGTTTTGTTAGGGCTTGATCCCTAGTATCCACTATGTTCTGAGACTGATGTTGCTATAACCTTTCTATGCTTAATGCTTGTCACTAGGGCCCGAGTGCCATGATTTCAAATCTGAACCTATTATGTTTTCATGAATATATTTGTGTTCTTGATCCTATCTTGCAAGTTATAGTCACCTACTACGCGTTATGACCCGGCAACCCTGGAGTGACAATAGTCGGGACACTTCTCGGTGATGACCGTAGTTCGAGGAGTTCATGTATTCACTAAGTGCTAATACTTTGTTTCGGTTCTCTATTAAAAGGAGGCTTTAATATCCTTTATTTTCATTAGGACCCCGCTGCCACGAGAGGGTAGGACAAAAGATGTTATGCAAGTTCTTTTCCATAAGCACGTATGACTATATTCAGAATACATGCCTACATTATATTGATGAATTAGAGCTAGTTCTGTGTCACCCTAGGTTATAACTGTTGCATGATGAATGTCATCTGGCATAATTATCCATCATTGATCCATTGCCTACGAGTTTGTTTCATATTGATCTTTGCTAAGTTACTTTTCCGTTGCCGCTGTTACGATTGCTACAAAACTGCTACTGTTACTGTTACTTTTGCCACCGTTACCGTTACTTCCATACTACTTTGCTACTAAATATTTTGCTACAGATATTTAGTCTTTCAGGTGTGGTTGAATTGACAACTCAGCTGCTAATACTTGACAATATTCTTTGGCTCCCTTTGTGTTAAATCAATAAATTTGGGTTGAATACTCTACCCTCGAAAATTGTTGTGATTCCCTATACTTGTGTGTTATCAATTTCATTGAAGAGGAGAGGATGATGCAGTACAATAGAGATAAGTATTCCCTCAGTTATGAAACTAAGATTATCAATCCAGTAGGAAAACCAAGCAACACTATGTAAACATCATCTGCACACAAACAACAAATACTTGCAACCCAACGCGTAGAGGGGTTGTCAACCTCTCCACGGTTATGAGCAAGATTATATTGTATAGTTTTTGATAGATAGATCTGACAACAATCTATACCAACTAATAAAAGGGTTATCACTTCTTACCATTGTAATTTCGTTTGTTTTTTGCCCGTCCACATCACTTTTGCAACCCAACGCATAGAGGGGTTGTCAACCTCTCCACGGTTGCGAGCAAGATTATATTGTATAGTTTTGATAGATAGATGTGATAAAAATCTATACCTACTAATAAAAGGGCTATCGCTTCTTACCACTGTAATTTCGTCTGTTTTTGGTCCGTCCACAATGCTCTTGCAACCCACATCGCTTCTTACCACTATAATTTCGTCTGTTTTTGGTCTGTCCACACCGCTTTTGCAACCCAAAGCGTATAGGGGTTGTCAACCTCTCCACGGTTACGAGCAAGATTATATTGTACTATAGTTTTTGATAGGTAGATCTGACAAAAATCTATACCTACTAATAAAAGGGCTATCACTTCTTACCACTGTAATTTCGTCTGTTTTTGGTCCGTCCATAACACTCTTACAACCCAACGCGTAGAGGGGTTGTCAACCTCTCCACGGTTACGAGCAAGATTATATTGTACTATAGTTTTTGATAGATAAACCTGACAAAACTCTATATCTACTAATAAAAGGGTTATCGCTTCAACCTCTCCACGGTTACGAGCAAGATTATATTGTACTATAGTTTTTGATAGATAAACCTGACAAAAACTCTATACCTACTAATAAAAGGGTTATCGCTTCTTACCACTATAATTTTGTCTGTTTTTGGTCCGTCGGCATCGCTCTTATATTATATAGTTTAAGAATATATAAGGTGGTACTAAAATTTCTGCCTGTCCAAGATTTTTCATACGCCACATCATAGTGGTTGGTTTGGTGATTTGAACTCATGACATGATGGCAAACAACTACTGTCACGACCAGCTATGCTACCTTGCACTATGTGTTGTAAGGAAAGCTTGATTCATATATTAGTCCCACCTCGCTCCCTTGCACGCAATCCTCTCAATTTAAATACGTCTTTGAATTTTCTAGGTATCAAGCAGCCTTCTCATGAGTCAATAAGGAAGGAAATAATTTGTCATGTTCGGATAAATATGGAAGGAAAGGAGAATAAAGCCGCTGTTCCATTCCTCTACAGGATTGGAAAGAGAATAATAAGTCGTCCGGGCGGAAAGAGAGAAAATTAGGATGAACCCTGCTGCTGAAATTAAGGAAGCAAAATCGAATCCTATCCTCGAATTAAGGAAGAAGAGCCAGTTGTGTATGATCTCAGTGAGCCTCTTGTGGTCACCCAAATATGCGCCGGCCTCGCCCGCTGCGCCATGGACAACATCTGCTCCAAGAACTCGTCGTCATCGCTGGAGCTAGCATAACTAGAGTATCCGCCACTGTCGCCTCACTGGTCAGTTTCCCTGTCAAAACTTGTTTAAACGCGGATCTCCCCAGACTTGATACTGAAGTAAACAAAACGTAAAGTAGTGGCAATGCATTGGACGTGGAGTTTCTACACCCAGGAGCACATGCTCCTGGTGTGAATAGTAAATTCAAAAAATTCTGAATTTTTTTTGTGCCATACTTTCACAAATGTTTGTTGTGTCTGCAAAATTTCATCGCAAAATCACATTGATGGAAGGCATGGTAAAAAAACAAAATCGATGCTCTGAAAATGTTACTTACAAAAGCATTTTAGAGCTCTGATTTTGTTTTTTTGGCACGCCTTCCACCAATGTGATTTCGCAATGAAATTTTGCGTGCACAACAAACATCTGTGAAAGTATGTCAAAAAAAATCTCAGAATTTTTTGAACATTTTTTCTATTTTTAAATTTTACTATTCATACCAGGAGCATTTGCTCCTGGGTGTAGAAAGGTACTTTCGCAATGGATTATCCTAGCTACAATTATATGATACCAATGTGCAATTAACCCCTTTGGTCGAACGGGTTGGGGGCAAACCAAATACCCACAGTCCTCTCCTCCTTTACCTTCCGCCGTTGTTGCGCCCGGTGCTTCTTCCATGGCGTCCCTTCTCCGGCCCGCCTCGTCGTGCCCCTCCTTTCGCCTACCCTCCTCCACAGCCTCTGCACCTCCGCCAAGCCTCCTTTCCAGGCGGCACAAGGCACCTCCCTTCCCACCCACGCCCCACGCCCCTCCTTCCCGGCCCCGCGTCGCCGCCGCAGCAGCCTACGGAGGCGCCCAGCTGCTGGGTCCGGTCGACACGCAGACATTCATCATCGCCGCCTCCGTCGTCGCCGCGGTCTCACTGTCTCTCGTCCTCGGCCTTAAGGTCTCCGCGCCGTGCCTCCTCCTCTCTCTGTTTCTTAGCGATAAGCGACGAGTGGCTGTTGCGAAGTGTGATTTCGTTTCCTTCTCGTTCGCAGGGTGACCCTGTTCCGTGCGACCGGTGTGCTGGAAATGGTACTTCCTCTCGTCTCTTCTCTTGATCAGTTTTGGAAATGAAATTGCTCCGCAGATGCATTGCTTCGCGATTTGTACTAGAGCTGAAGCTTTGCACATTTACACCCTATCCAGCTAGTGATGTACTGTATCATCTATGGCCAATCTGTGACTTCAGTTTGTAAATTTGAACAAACTAACTAGTCATACGGAAGAAACAAAACGAATGGAGCATATAAAATTCAACTAAGTTGTTCGTTTTCCCGTAATGTATTATGGTTATGACATTTTGTGCGAGGTTATGACATTTTGTGCATGTCGCACTCAAAACATTCGTACGGGCAGACTGCTAAGCATTGTTTTCCGTTGTGCCTAGGGCAGGGGGCACAAAGTGCGTCTTCTGCAATGACGGCAAGATGAAGGCGGATAACGGGGTGGTCGAATGCCGGGTATGCAGGGGAGCAGGTTGCCTTCTTACCTTGTTTCATTTCCTTCCTTCACATTGCGCATTGGAGTGCAAAAGCTGTTAATAGATCACCAAGCACTGATTCATTGTGAACTGGAAAAAATGCTCAATTATCTTCATTTCGTCTTCCCGGTTACCTCTTCTGACAATCCGCTATATGTTTGTCACGCAGGGCTGATACTCTGCAAGAAGTGCTCAGGTTCTGGTTACTCTAAGCGCTTGTAGCCCCAGCCCCAGCTACAGAACATCATGTGCATTTGTCAACCGGGCAAGTTGCGAGTTTATGTGTGGGCGCTGTTTAGATAGATATGAGTATATACGATGGCGATGATGTATTAGAATATGCAGAATTGTATGTTTCGCCCTGTCCATGTATACCCGTCCTTAATCATCTGATAAGATATTGTACGTACGATGGCTCCACGTCCCCTGTTTAGTTCATGTTTTTATACCATGTAGCAAAACTGATGTTACCAGTCAGGTTTATCAATGTTGCAACTTTTGCAGCCCTGAGATCTTCAGATTTATCCATGTTACAGCTGAAGCGTCTGAAAACAGTACTATACATAATGCCCATACAACCAAAAGTCATACACTTATGATAGTTGCAGATAAAATTAGTAAAATATGATTCTTCATCGACTATTACAACCATAATGAAGAGTCCAAAAGAGAAACCACTTTAGTACCCTAGATACCCAGCGAAACACACTTCTCAGGCTTCAGCTCCAACAAGGCATGTTATACGACTGTAGCTTGTTACACATCAGTTATCTGGCTACCGAATTCTGAGTACTCATTCTCATTGGGCTTCTTCACGGTACCTTCTCCAACATGCCTCTCTGCAGGTTGCCTAGGAAACGGTCTCGAGTCCCCGTCGTGAATGGTTGGAAATCCAAAAGATTTGAAGAATTCGTTGGTCATCCGCTCAGCTTCATCCAGAAAGCTACCGAAGCCTTTCTCAATAGCTTCAATGTCACTGCGAAGTCCTGGAAATGCAAAGGGCTCTTTTGTTGGGAAGCCAAGAGAATGCGAGGCACCACCGGTCATTTCATCTGTGACATCTTCTTCGGTGTTCTCAGTTTTCGACTCCACCAGTTCAGAAGGCCTAATGGAGGAACAATGTGGTTTAATTCAGATAAGCCACGAAGGAATAAAGCACATGTGTAATATGTCCATATAACATCAAACAGAGAAAATACCAAGCCTATTTGGACATAATGCAGTATCCTGTTCAGAATGAGCAGGTAATTAGTAACTCACTTTGAGGAAGGGGAATTCTTGAAATTGTGATTCAATCACCAATCAATGTTGATAGCCATGTGCAAGGAAGTTGACAAAATATGCTAAGTTGATACAAATTTCTGATGCTTTTAACATTTGTATTTCTAATGATAAGATGTCGCATCTTCTATTGGTACAAAGAAATTGCTTACTTCCTCTACACACCACATCATAACAATGTGCAGAACAGAAAGATTGTGTTTCGCTGTTCCTCAACTGACAAGCGACAAGATCTCTGGAACGCGTAACATTTCATTATTGACTATGTGTAAAATATAGCAAGGTGATGTCCGTGGTCAACCGCCTACAAGTCTACCAAGAATGAACATGCTCGTGACTACAGACAAGTGTATTAACAAGACAAGTGTATTAACCATACATAGTTACCACACAATTTTCCTTTCGAACTGTTAAGCCATCATAGCTGTAAATCAACAGGTACAGCACAAGACGCTAACAACAGAGATGACTGAAAGCATAGGCATCGATACCTACATCTAAACCTAAAACTGGATGGCAATTCCATAGACATTAATGGCCCAATTGTGAACCGGGAAGAAATATTTGTTGTATACAGATTATTACTCGTCATTTTCACTCATCCGCCTGCGCATGACCAAAACAAATCGGTATACAAATCAACCGTGCCTGCCTCAACAAATCCATTCCAAGAGGCGCGGCGGCACCTCAAACCGGGAGCCTCAATCACCAGGAAATCGACTCCATGCATTCCAGGAAAGCACTACTTCAATTATTACCAAGATAATAACATGCAAATATGCGATCCTTGCAGGAGAGCTCGGACGGATTGCGGGGCCGGGGGGTAGTGGGGGGCGGGGGGCGGGAGCCGGGAATTTTACCTGCCGACGCAGTTGCGGAGGAGCTGCTCGGTCTTCTCGCACTTGCGGACGAAGCGGCCGGGCTCCACCTCCTCCGTGTGGCAGCGGGACTGCACCACCCGGCGCGTGCCGACGTGCGCCGCCTCGCCGCCGCCTCGGCCGGCGAGGTCGGGGATGTCGCCGAGCCCGCCGCGGCCACCGTCGCCCTCGCCGTCGTCGTGCCAACGCCAACCCATGGATGCGATTCGAGACGAGACGAGACGATCTTGGGGAATCTGAATTGGGGAAAGGGACTGGGCCGCTCCTTATTTCTGGTGGCGTGTTTGGGCTTTGCCTTGGAGAGCAATCCCGTTGTGGGCTGGCCGCTTCCAGAAGCATGTGGAAGGGCGTGAGCAACCTTGACACGGAAGTCTGCGTGTCAACGCTTGGGAAAAGTTCCCCTAAAAAAAAACCTTGGGAAAAGTTTGCCGTGTTCGTCTCTCGCAAGAATTGATAGCTTTAGTGCCTGTTCGGCAGTCATCCAACTCCTCAAAATATGGGAGCCAGCGGAGCGTCACTCTGATGACTCCGATAAAATAGGCTACGGCGCCGCTCCGCTCCGGCCGCTCCAGGAGCTGAGCCGTGGAGCGAAGAGTTGCCGAACAGGGCCTTACTCGTAGGGCGAGTCGTGAAAGTAATCAAGAGCATCTTCAATAGACGGTTTAAATGTAAAAATACCTAATTTTTAGACTGTTTGGGGCAAAAAACGCTATTTCAACAGACGGTTCATATGTAAAAAATATTGGACCGCGGCCTTCTCGTAATGTAAAATGCAACACCTCGCGATGCAAATATACATCACGAGATGCATCTGGTCAAATTCGGCGACTGCCCGCCAACGCCCAACCGCCCTTCATTTCATTTCACAGCCACGCTCGTCCGCCCGCCCGAACACCAGTCGGCGGAATCCACCGCCACCACCACCCAAATCCCCCCGCCGCCATCGCCGCCACCGCCCCAAATCGCCAGCGTCGCCCTCCGCCGCCCTCGCCCCCATCGTCTCTGTGACGCCCCCGATTCAATCATACACTAATCATACACGGAGACGTGTACGATCAAGATCAGGGACTCACGGGGAGATATCACAACACAACTCTAAAATTAAAATAAGTCATACAAGCATCATATTACAAGCCAGGGGCCTCGAGGGCTCGAATACAAGAGCTCGATCATAGACGAGTCAGCGGAAGCAACAATATCTAAGTACAGACATAAGTTAAACAAGTTTGCCTTAAGAAGGCTAGCATAAACTGGGATACAGATCGAAAGAGGCGCAGGCCTCCTGCCTGGGATCCTCCTAAACTACTCCTAGTCGTCGTCAGCGGGCTGCATGTAGTAGTAGGCACCTCCAATGTAGTAGGAGTCGTCGTCGACGGTGGCGTCTGGCTCCTGGGCTCCATCGTCTGGTCGCAGCAAACGGGTATAGAAAGGGGGAAAAGAGGGAGCAAAGCAACCGTGAGTACTCATCCAAAGTACTCGCAAGCAAAGAGCTACACTACATATGTATGCATTGATATCAAATGAAAAAGGGGGGGTAACATATGTGGACTGAACTGCAGAATGCCGGAATAAGAGGGGGATAGCTAGTCCTATCGAAGAATACGCTTCTGGTAACATCCATCTTGCAGCAGAAAAAGAGAGTAGATGGTAAGTTCACCAAGTAACATCGCGTAGCATAATCCTAACCAATGATCCTCCCCCCGTCGCCCTGTGAGAGAGCGATCACCGGTTGTATCTGGCACTTGGAAGGGTGTGTTTTATTAAGTATCAGGTTCTAGTTGTCATAAGGTCAAGGTACAACTCCAAGTCGTCCTGTTACCGAAGATCACGACTATTCGAATAGATTAACCTCCCTGCAGGGGTGCACCACATAACCCAACACGCTCGATCCCATTTGGCCGGACACACTTTCCTGGGTCATGCCCAGCCTCGGAAGATCAACACGTCGCAGCCCTACCTAGGCACAACAGAGAGGTCAGCACGTCGGTCTAAATCCTATGGCGCAGGGGTCTGGACCCATCGCCCATTGCACACCTGCGTGTTGCGTACGCACAGTCGTTTATACAAGAGTAGACCTTCCAGTCCAATCCTATGGTGAGCAGACCTAGCCTCCCTTATACAAGAGTAGGCGTTCCAGTCCAACCCGGCGCGTGCCGCACAGTCACTGACGTCACGAAGGCTTCGGCTGATACCATGACGTCGAGTGCCCATAACTGTCCCCGCGTAGATGATTAGTGCGTATAGGCCAGTAGCCAGACTCAGATCAAATACCAAGATCTCGTTAAATGTGTTATCTTGAAACATTGTTCAAGATATCTTCCGATATTCTGATAAATCGGTCGATTTATCGCTTACCGTTGTCTGACCGATAAGATAAATCGGCCGATAAATCAGCCGATATGGCGATAAATCGGCCGATATGCCGATAAAATGGCCAATTTACCCCTTATCATGGGTCGACCGATAAGTTCCCGATAAGCGATATCCCGAACATTGTCTTGAAATAACCGCGAACGCCGACCAGGGCCAGGTCCACCTCTCTCCTAGGTGGTCTCAACCTGCCCTGTCGCTTCGCCACAAAGATCCACTCAGAGGGCCGTCAGGACAAATGTCCTTTCGGACCCAATCCGTGAATCACTCGCGGGTACTCCTACGAGCCGACCCGTCTTTAGTCACCACAAGTATCATATATTATGTATATAAGTATATACTCGTGATCAACTCCCGAGTGATCATGGCCCGATAGTATTGCATGGCAGACGGACAAGAATGTAGGGCCACTGATGGTAAACTAGCATCCTATACTAAGCATTTAGGATTGCAGGTAAGGTATCAACAGTTGTAACAACAATGACAGGCTATGCATCAGAATAGGATTAACGGAAAGCAGTAACAGGCTACACTACTCTAATGCAAGCAGTATAGAGGAGAGTAGGCGATATCTGGTGATCAAGGGGAGGGGGGCTTGCCTGGTTGCTCTGGCAAGAGAGAGGGGTCGTCAACACCGTAGTCGTACTGGGTAGCAGCGCCGTCGGTCTCGATGTCTAGCGAGAGAAGAGGGGGAAGAAACAATAAATATAATGCAAACAAAAGCATGACGATGCATGACGATGCATGACATGACAAAGCGTGATGCTAGGCGTGCCCTAACGCGGTACGAGGTGGTACCGGTGAAGGGGGAAAACATCCGGGAAAGTATTCCCGGTGTTTCACGTTTTCGGACAGATGAACCGAAGGGGAAAAGTTGCGTGTTCGGTATGCTAGGGATGTGTGGCGGACGAACGGGCTATGTAACCGGATTCGTTTCGAAATTCTGAGACACTTTTATGTACAAAACATTTTCATCTGATATATGGTTTATTTTATATGATCTTCTAAGGTTTTAACAATATTCTAAAATTTCTGGTTTTATTTTAATTCGAGTTGATCAAGTCAATTTGACTGGTCAAAGGGGAGGTGGTGGCCCACATGTCACAAAGTTAAATCTAATCTAATAAATAAAAACTAACTTAAATGGGGCCATATATCATAGTGTAGCAATTATCCTAACTAGTATGATTAGGCCTAATCTAATTTGAACAGTCCGGCCAGAGGCATAGCAAGCCTCACGCATGTGCACACATGCACCGCACAGGACACTCGGCCATGGCTACGGCCACAACCGAGGCCAAGGAGCGTTCAGTGGCAGCAAAAGGCAGCGGCGGCTGCCGCTATGAGCAGCAACGGAGATAGCAGTAGAAGGGAACAACGACTCAACAGCAAGAGCATCAGCGTAGGAAAGCAGCAGCACTAGCAGTACAAGGTGCAACAGCAGCAAACGACAGCGACGACAAGAGGGTTAGCAGGTAAAATGATCAGCCGCGGCCAGAGGAGGAGCAGCAGCAGAAGCCAGCGGCCATAGCTGCGTGCGGGCAACAAGCAGGGCCGTGGTTGCGTGGGCGGGCGCCTTGCCACGGTCGGGGAGCGGCGGTAGGCCAGGACGCGCGGTCATGGACGGCCAGAGCGCGGGCGGAACGCTGGTGTGGCCGCGGCTAGCTCCGGCCATAGTGGCCATGCGAGCACGGGTGGAGTTACAGTGGAGAATCGACGGGAGAAAATACGCGGGAGGTAGCGCGGCTCACCGCGGAGTTCTATGACGCGTTCGGGGAGGCCAGGGACGACTCGACGGTGATGCAATCGGTGGCGAGGTGCCACGGCCGTGCGCGGAGAGGATGCCACGATGGCGGCGATGCGGTGCTCCGCCGCTTGAGCTGTTGCTTGGCGTCGATGAGGATGAGGCGGGCGGAGCTCCTCGACGTATTCACGTGGCTCAGGAAGGCTGTTGGTCAAGGCCACGGCGAGGCGCGGCGACGAGCGGAGCTCGGTGATGGCGCGGGAAGAGGAGGCGGCGCGAGAGGTGGGGAGGAGAATAGAGAGGGGCTAGGGTTATGGGGGGCGCGACACAGGTCATAAGGCGTCGGGGAGGGGCTCGATGGCCGCCACGCACGCCATGGCTGCGACCATGGCCGTGGATGTGTGCCACGGTCTCCCCGCCTCCTGTAGCGAGAGGTGGGAGGCAAGTGGGGGGTTGGCCTGGGCCGTTTTGCTAGATGGGCCAAGTGCCCAGTAGGTTAGGTTTATTTCTAGTTTCATTTTCATATTTTCTTTGTGTTTTCATTTTCCACACCGTTTTGCAATTTAAGTTAATAACAACTGATTTTTGTTGCATTAGACATTCCATATGTAAATACTCACTACACCACGAACCCCTCTATAACCACGCATACCTTCCAACGAAATAGCCATGTGGCGAATCAACCTGTGGTTGAGTTGGTTAGGTGGATAGTGGTATCCCCAACCCATCAGGGTTCAAATCCTGATGCTCGCATTATTCTTGGATTTATTTCAGGATTTCCGGCGATGCGCTTTCAGTGGTAGGAGACGTTCCCGTCGACGACGAGGCGCGTACGATGACTTCGTAAATCTCAAGATGATATGCCGGCTCAGTCTCTCGAAGGTGCTCATAGGGGTAGGGTGTACGTGTGTGCGTTCATAGGGATGAGTGTATGCGCGTGTATATGAGCGCTTGTATTTGTACTGATGCTAAAAAAAACGAAATAACCATGTGTTGCTGGGATTGCCGCTACCACTTCCCATGACTATTAACCACTCCCTACAACAATTAAGGAAATATCATTTTCCAAAATAAAAATAAAGG